TGTGTGTGTGTGTGTGCGTGCATCTGTGTGTGTGTGTGTGTGTGTGTGCGTGCATCTGTGTGTGTGTGCTCACGCTGGCATTTTATAACATTTGTCTTGTTTAGATCTAAATTGTGATTCCTACTTTGAGCAGAGCTTTTATTTTGACAGTGTGTTGCAGCTTTACCTGTAAAAACACTTCCTACCTGCAGGTGGCGCTCCACATTACAAGCTGCTGAATTCATGACAAATGATTTATGGAAAACTACTGATACAGCTCAGGGACCAATTAAAGACCAAAGAGCTTGTAAAGCAACAAACGCAAAACAGAGGATATCGCCGCATCCTGACACGCCAAAGACACAGGAAGTAAGACGCCACCAGCGCAGTGTGACGCCCCAGGCTGATGATGTGATGGAGGGCTTCCTACCACACACACAGGAACAGAAACAGGCCTCAAAATCATCTATATCTTCTGAAACCTCTGAACAACCAGGCGGTTGTCATCTGCTATTGCCTTTTCCTGCATTCCAGAACTCGGCTGTCGAAGTGACGTCACTCAGGAGTTAGCGTGTTCCAGAAAAACAATTTTTTTGCTTGACGCACACGCAATGATTCAGGTAAGGAAATCCTAGAAAGGAGATTCTGCTCATCCGGGGGAAAAACAGTCGCATCCCTCATCAAAGGGACTGAAGAACGAGTCTCAAACACACCAGCGTTTGAGACTGTACAGCGGAAGTAGATTCTAACCTCTACTTCCTGTGGGGCTGCTACAACTTTCCAAGTGGGAACCCCGAGTTGAGGGGGTGTTTCACAAAACATTTCCAACTTTCTAGTCTTATTGAGGAAGGTGCGTCTCCCAGCAGAATAAAGTAACCTCTCTACTTCCTGTTTAATTGTCTAACTTTGGTGGTATGTTTGTTTCTGGACATCCTTTCACATTTACAGGACTCGTAGCGTTTTGACCACGTGCAGGTAAGTCATCACCTTTGGTAAACTTCAGGTTCTTCACGCGACCTGAGCTGCAGGATCCAGGTGACCTCTACGTTTGGTTCACAGTAGTAACACCTTCACTGCCTCCTTCATACGTCCTCAGTGACCTTTGAACTCAAACACGTCCCGACTTGAACCAGATGCTCCCTCTGTGCTCCTGCTTCACCTCCACAGCTGTTTTAAACATCTGGAGCTCTTAAACACGAGAGAACTCTGTGAGCAGCTTGCGTCAGATTATTGATCAGCGAGAGGCTGAAGGAGCTGAAATGTAATGTGATGAAGATCAGAGGTGAAGAGGAGGTGTCCATGAGTGTGCAAGTTCAGATGAGAGGATGAAGAAGCAGACTCTGTTTTAATAAAAAAGAAGAAGCTGCCCTCACGCCCTTGTGTTCAGCTCACTGCCGCTCCCTGCTGGCTGCCTCCTCCTCCTCTTCTGCAGCTGACCTTCATCACTTTTTTCTACTACATCACAGGAAATAAAATCCCACTTGGGTAATGAAGTCTTCCTTCCTTTTAATTCAAACCTCTGAGGTTTAAGTTAATCTGACCCTTTGTTTTCACAATACCTCTAAAATCTGCCCAATCAGAAGACGGAAAATACAAAAACCAACCAAACTTCACGTCACTGATGAAAACCTAAAATCTGGCCGCAGCTCCCAAACCCATTATTGGCCTCGACAGGCCGCAGACGTCATCATCACAGCATTTTTATTCTCTATCAAAGAAATTCATACATTTAGTCCACATTTCAACCCACCTGCTTCTGAACCGCGTCCACGACCTGAACCTGCCTGATGACACAGCTTCATCATCATCATCAATCGTTACACCAATAACATTAATATGATAACAACAGTAACACTAAGATTCAGCAACATCTTTTCTCATTTCCATTAATCAGCAGCTCCGTTCATCATCATCATCGTCACTGTGAGTGAGGCTCCTGGCACCACAGAAGAAGAAGTAAACAGAGACGCATATGGAGGCACCGGGCGACTGAATACTGTGTTTGTTTCCTGCACAACTGTTTCACACGCAGAGTTTGATCTGAGCGAGGACGCCGACAGACGACGGATTATCACCACGGGTGGGGGTGGGGGG